AGGGACTTTCTGATGTACGATGAAGAAGAGGATGTTTTTATAAATTCAGGATGCACATTTGTTTATGGTCTCCTGTATATATAGTGATCAGAGAATGTTAGAGAATTTCGTGGAGTTGTTATTTGGCTGGAAATGATAGTGAAGTTGTTGTTTGGCATCATAAAGAAGAGAAAAATGGTGCAGTTGTTGTTTAGCATAAAAAAGAGGAAAAAAAAAAAATGGTGAAGTTGTTGGAGATTGGAATATCTTAAACTAGAACGCTTCCACTTCTCCCCAGGTCATCCACAGAGGGAGGAATATTGCATTTCCTGTGTTTCTTTTAGGAAATTTGAGGGCTTTGTTTAGAGATATCATTTTTTGTTACATCCGAGTGAATAAGGCCCTTTGTTGAGTTTATCCACTTTGGTAAATATTTCAAAAGCTATATACTTAGTTCAATCAATTTTTTGGCTATACCAGATTATTGCCTGGTGATCTATTCTTTGCGGTAAACTGTAATAAAAAGGTTCCATTTGGATTGTCACTATTCTCAGGGGGGAAAAAAATTTTGAGAACTGCGTCGTTCTCGTTTGTTTTAAATTATCCAAATTTTGATTATAAAAACTAACTATAGAGAATAATGCCAATTTATAATCGGAATACAATGTTAAAAGAGAACAGTAAAGATTTTGATTTTTCGAAATAATCAGGTAAAATGATCAAATGATAACAAATCCAATACCTCTATTACACATTTCCCTGTGCTCAGTACAGGTAAAAACTGTTTGTTTGCTTGTCTGTTGTGCAGGTGCTGGAACTCTTGCAGGATGAAGTTAGAGCTGTAGCTTAAAGTTGGAGGGGAAAGAAGGAAAAGAAAAAGGAGAATAGAATTCAAATTTTAAGTCCCTTATGAATTTGTCACAATATCTGTTTTAGTTTTGTACTTCTGTTTAGATTCTCTTCTCTAGAGATCGATTAGGTTTTATCCCATTAGTACAAACTAATCCGTTTCTGAGGGTGGAACAAAATAGAGTTGTGACCTCTTAACTGCAGCAAGTTAATGACCACACATGAAGACTAGAATTCTTGAATATGAAGGGGCCGGGGGATCTCAGAACACTCGAATGGTTTTAGTGAAAAGTGCTTATGGAGCCGAGATTATGAGATGTAAACCAAAGCCAATGTTTGACCCAAAAAAAAAAAAAGCCAATGGATTCTGGTCCTTACATGGTTCTTTAATCATATAATTTAGATGGATGTTTCCTCTGTCAATGATTGTTTCTTTACTTCCATATCTGGATGTCATGGTTCTAGCTTCAAAGGACTCGCTTTTAAATTCTGCATTTTTTTTTTGTACGTTCTCAAGAATTGGGTTAGATCTTACACTAAATCTATGAGTAAATCTTATATATATTGATGGTGTATACACTATCACGGTTAGATATACGATGCGTATGTAAAATTTGAATTATGTGTTATGTATCTAATGGTAAAAGTGTATATACTGTTAATGTATAGAACATTAATCTAACATTAATCTTCAATTCTATATTTGCCCTGGAACTTGGGAATTTTGTAGAGGAAGAAGTCGACAAATTCATGAATTATACTTTTGAATATGTGGATTTAGTTTCAGAGTTTACTCTTTAAAGTTTGTTCCCTAATTGCTAATCATGCATTGTACCCTTGACTTCACTTTAATAGGTGACTTTGAATTTAGGAAATTTATGTATTCAACATCCTTAATCCGGTAATAAGCCAATTCCTACAAGACTCCTTATAAACTGTATTAAACACAGCAATAACATATTAAGCCTCTGCAACAATAAGCCTCTGCAACAATATCCAATTTGTGAATTTTGGTTAAGGTAAAACCTTGGTCCTTCAAGGGCAAATTTGTTTAGTATTTGTAATTCTCATTTTTTGCTTTGGTGAAAATTGAAGTGCAACAGTATCCTAAACAATGCTCTCCATAAAGGCGTGATCAAGAAAATGAACATATTAGGACTTCCCTAACATTCCAATCCAAAGGCGTGATTCTGACAAGGGAAAGAACAGCGCCTTCATTTTAATTGAATCTCCTATCTTCGGATCAAAAACCCCAAATCCCATCCTTGCTTCTTTTTGGCTTAGGAGTTAATACCTCTGTAGCAATTTGATGAGGTCCTGAATCATTTACAGCAGTTAAAATCTGCATATAACGGGAACGGGGGTGAAATTTTTGGAAGCCAATTGAAAAGTCAAATCCAGGTCAAAATTGGAGAAGTTTATTAAACTACAAGAAACTCCAAAATGCCACCGCCGTGGTAATTTCCTAAATCCTGATCCCCCAACAATTGTTGGAAACATCAAACGCAAACCTACATCTTCGATTCCTTTAAGAATTAGGGAAAGACGAACTCGTATAACTATAGAACTCTTACATTGTTATACTTCATATATACAAGTCCCTCTTCAATCAAACCTTTGCTACTCGTGAAACTCTATTATTCTTCAAAAAATTCAGCGAATTAGGGAAAGACCAACTCGTATACCTATAGAACTCTTACATTATTATGCTTCATATATACATGTCCCTCTTCAATCAAATCATTGCTACTCGTGAGACTCCATTATTCTCAAAAAAATTCAGCGAATTAGGGAAAGACCAACACGTATAACTATAGAACTCTTACATTATTATGCTTCATATATACACGTCCCTCTTCAATCAAATCTTTGCTACTCGTGAGACTCCAATATTCTTCAAAAAATCAGCCGAAAAATGACTGGGAATAACAAGAAATCACGGCCAAATTGGTCTGAGCTGAATCAAGAACTTCTTGGAATTATAGCTTCAAAGCTGTTATACCTAGATATCATACGTTTCAAAGCGGTTTGTTCTTCATGGTTTGCTGCTGCTGAGAGATACTCATCACCAGGGCCACTTCTACTTTGTCCTTTAACTCGAGAAACTGACGCTGAACATGTAAGACTTGGTGCATGCAGCATAAAAGACGGAACAATCTACGATCTCAACTTGGAATTCGAAAAACCTGAAGATGTTTTTTCAGCATCTGATGGTTTTCGATTTATAGGTTCCTCGCATGGCTGGATGGTGGCTGAAGACAAGGGTTCGGAGCTTTATTTGATGAATGTTTTCTCCAGAACCTGCATCCCACTCCCTGAAAAAGGCACCATTCCAACAACACAAAGTTATGGGCCTAAGTTTTCTATGATTCAATCTCCCACAATGATTCAGAAAGCAATATTAACTGCTAATCCATCATTAGATGAGAACTACAAGGTCATCATCATATACGGTTGTCGCGAGAAACTTGCTTTTTGTGGCTTTGGAGATCAAGAATGGGTGAGATTTAGCAATTCTGATGGCTATGATGATGTTGTATGCTATGATACGCTGCTATATGCATTGAGGGAAGGGCAAATTGAGGTATGGGAAATTTCTGATTCTTGTTCTCCGACCAAAAAGATATGCCTGGAATGTTGTTACACAACAGACTCGAGTTATCCAAGAGAGATTTGTTGTACTCAATGGTACTTGGCGCCGTCACTGGGGGAACTTCTGCTCATTGAGAGGTTTATCGGGGAGTTCGTGGATGATCAAGGGCAGCTTCATCCTGAGGGAGATCTTCTGACAGATGAAGATAGCCATCCTCTGCTTTTTCCTTATAAAACGTTCAGCTTCCAGGTTTACAAGTTAAATATGATCGAAAAGAAATTGGAAAAAGTGACATCCTTGAAGGATCAGGTGATCTTTTTGGGTGGAAATCATGGGATTTCACTCTCTGTTAAGGATTATCCAGAATTCATGCCGAACTCGATTTATTACACTGATGATTATTGGGATCGGATGCATGAAGATTACTTGTATGGAGGTCATGATTTTGGCTCATACAGCTTAGAAGAAAACAGCATTGCTTCACTTGTGCCTTATTGTGTGGAGAGATTTGATCCAACACCCTTTTGGGTTTTTCCAAATTAGTGAGGCTTGTAACTAGTAGTAATGGACACGTACAAATGAACTTGATGATTTTTTTTCCCTTCCCATATTATGAAACATTTTCTTACTTTCAAATCAAAAAAATTAATTATTAGAAATAGCATCCCAATTTTTCCTTTTTTGTTTAACTAATTGTCTTCAGAGCATATTTCTGTGATGCATCCACAATCTTCAGACCTTAAAACTGAAATGTCAAATCTTGATCAAAACAAGGCCTCAGTTGCATTATCAAAGAAATATTGCTCTGTGATGTTACCTCTCTGTCTGAGTGAAGAACTTGGAAACAAATGTAACAGTCTAGTGGTGTAATATTTGTATAGTATTTCTGGATGGCTTCTGAGATTTCAAATCTCCAAACTTCTTACAGAACTTGATGTCACCTTCTTCCTTCTTCTCATTCCAATTGACCAAAACAGGTATCAATGTAGTATGCAAGATTGGTGAATTCGCAGGAGGCAAGTTTGGCACCTTCTTCCTGTTTTAGGTGTATTAAATTCTTGTCCCTCATTCCATCCAATCTCTTGCAGCCCCCGTCTTCATTCTTGAATTTGCTAATTTATTTGGCCTATTTATGAATGATAACTCGAACAGAAATTTAACAGGAAAAAATTACAGAAGTGAGGATTTGAAAAAAAATATCACTGCAATGAAGTTAATTGCAAGAATGCAAAATGGTTGAGGATTTTGAAAAGATGGAAACAGTGAAAATGATAATAACTATAAAGCGATTGCTGCTGAGATGACATGAGATATAATCCAAAAACAAAAACTTATTGGCAATTTGAGAATCTGAAACTCAAAATAAATGAAATTAATGATTACATTTTTTAATGAGTGTCATTTTATTGAGCAATGTTGTGTTATATTTCGCGCCTTCTACTTAAACGAGTAAAGATTGATGAAAGGCGTGGCAGGATCATCTGCTTGCCCTTCCTGAAACGAGTAAAGATAGATGAAAGGCGTGTACGAAGCATGTTCTTTATTTGCTTTGCTTATTAGGGACATTAAATACTACGTATTGTTTTTCAGGGGTTATCTTTATTTTGTACTCTGACACACAATTTGATTGCCACAACAAATGAAGAAAAAATAGAGATACAAATCTGCCAAAAAAAAGAACTTGTGCTAGATTTATACATTCGTGGAAGAACAAAATCCAAAATCCTGAAGCTAGATTTTATACTCCCCGCATAGGCTCTTCATGGTGCATAACTTTGTTCTGTCTTACTACGGGGGAAATCAATTTCCACACTGCAATGAAAAATGTAAACACTATCAGAAATAGCAAGAATTGCCTAGCATGACAAGGCTTATATTACTTATCTCCAAAATCTAGACTCTGCTGAATTTCAATTTTATGGTGGCATGCAAATCTGTCATTCCTCCTGTTGGAAACCTGTACAGATTATGGGGTACTCTTATGTATTGTCAGTTAATTTCACCAAGTGGCTTGGAACTGGGAAAAGGTAAAGAGAAGCTTTGCAAAGGCCATGATCATGGGGATCAGCTGTGGAACTCCAACAATGGCTAGATGCATACACAAAGTAAATCTGAAACAGAAGCTTTGATCACAGAAGGAATTCGGAAGTTAGGGATAACAGTTAAAATTAACTCACAGTATATTGTGGCTGCAAACCATTCATTGATGATCTTCACCCATGTACTAGCCCAGCCAACATCAATGCACCATCTGTTGTTTGAGATTGATTCATGAGGAGAGTAGATCAAACTTGAGCAGGAAAAGAGGTCTATGGAGCATTGAGAGCATAGTTGTTACCTTTTTGTCAAGCTATCTAGATTCCAACTGATGAATAGCATTGCAAAGTACATGGCCCCCAGGGAGAACACCAAGTGGAAAAAGCCATACTTATATGGGATATCATCCTCCGATTGAATGTCGTCTTTACGAAACTGGAAGACAATGAAAGCAAAATCAATAACCCCTCCGGAAGATGAAGAAATTATCTGCTAAACGATGCCTGGTATTATCAGAATAAAGTGCGCTTCTGGTGCAACAGAATGACTGCATCTGTGGTTTCATTGATAAAGAACCTCAGTTCACCTGAAAGGTTTGTGAATCAATTCCAGTGGAAAAAGTTGCCATGACAATTGCACAAACAGCTATAAAAAAGCCCTGGAAGCAACAGAATGGAGATGTGCACTTCAGTTGAATAGTTGAAAGCAAAGTAGGAAAGTTTTCTTAGCTCTCCATTTTTGGCAGTTACGACTGATAGGGGATTAGGTATATCAAAAGGATGTTTTCTCTTACAATTACAGTTGTCCAACCTCCATGTCCGCTATCTTGGGTCTGAGGGCTACATTTAGCAGTAGCTGGTTCACTGGAAAACATATAGGCAAAAGCAGAAAGCATTAAGTTAGTTTAAAACAAAATGTCAAAAAATTTGAAGATTTTCTTAATCCACATTATAAGTCTGAAGTAACTGTAAATGTTTGAGCTGGAATGAATATAGTGATTTGTCAAGTATCAATCAAAGCTACTATCAAAGTTTGAAGGGAGACTTGATAAAAGTGAACATAGGAAATTCTAACCAAAATCTTTCAACTGAAACAGAAAATAATCGATGCTTATTCAGAATATTTGGTTGCTTTTGCTGGTGAGAAAAGGGTTATTTTTATATATATAGAATTAGATCTTGTTCAAAATCATCAATTTCTAACTAGCAATACTCTCTCTTTATCCACTATGCTAATCCAGCAGAATTGAAAAAATGAAGAAATGCCTACACGTTAAGATTTAAGACGGAAATATTAGGCCGGACAACCTATAATGAGCTTAATATATTAGCAATGTACATGTAGAATTCTCCAGCAAAGAATCTGAAACTCAGAACTTCTTCACAAAATGCTTGTTCTATCTGTATAATTTTCTGATTACTTTCATGCATGAAAACTCTCACCTTCTGATAGCACTCCAACAAAGGAAAACAATATAAGAAGCCATAATCCCTGAAGACAAAAGACCTCTATTCACCTGTCCTAAGCATGGAAATAACCATGAATTAGATGTAAGTATGGCACATCAACATCATAAATGAAGTACACACACACACACACATATATATATATATATATTTTGGACTGCAAACATGGTGTAACTTTGAAGTGAGAGCATATAAGAGAATCTGCACTTTAGTTCTATAGTTGGCAGACAGATTACATGCAATGTATGGGCTGTAACTTAAATTTGGGCATGTACAAGTCAAATAATCTTTCAATGAAGTAACTTCATTATTAGTGGAAGCTTTGTATATCGATGAAGTTACAATACTTGGAAATGCATTCTCTTGGAACTTACCTTAGAATGCAAGGATATAAACATCATTACGGCTAGCAAAATTCCTGTCCAGGAGATGAAGAATATGTTGAGAGTGCAGGATGCCTTAGAGGCATAGAGCACAAACATCAAAACAATCCCGCAAACTGAACCAATGTAGAATAAGGTTGACATGCATATTCCCAGAGAGCAGCTGCAAGGGATGTTAAGTGCAATGCAAGTTAAACATCATAATGGTCAATATATGTGAAAAAAAAATAAAAAAAGGAACTTAATTCCCTTGAGCCAGTGGGGCGCCTGGAGTAAAATAAGCTCCATAGCTGATGTTTGATCTAGGATACAGCCGTTTAAGTCATCATAGTCTTTCAAAAGTTCCCTACTTTTAATTCGTATTCATTTACAAAACGACAGATGATATGAGCTTAGATAGGACTATGTTTACTGCAAATCAAGATCACATACCTATGTTTCTTTTTCTCATCAGGCATCCAGTAGTCATTCCACCACGTGATGAACTCAATAACACTTACAAGTTGGAGAAGAAGAAATATCCTGCAGCATATGAAGTAAAATGTGACTCCAGGAGCCCAAAATCAACAAGGAGCATTTGCTATAATTGAAGCCAAAAGGCGACAATTTCTCACTATATAAATCCAGCAGGCCTAAGATAATTGAGACTCGTACTTAACAAATATATTTGTTAAGGACATGAACAGATATGGTAAATTCTCAGGTTCATTGTGCCAATGGGAAAAAGCTGTAATTCTTTGCTAGGCTTTGGATGTGTAAGCCATCTTCTTTATGTAATATTCATGTGGAAAGATATGCAGAACCAATTTTTGACACATTTAAGAAGGAAAAATACTTGGTACGCTGACTGATTTCAGACATGCAGTTCCAATTTGTGTATAAGAAAACACTGCCTAGAATGATTATATTACAGGACTTGAAGGAAAAGCTCCATCATTAAAATGTGAAGAATTTTGAAGTGGACGTGCAGTTCTAAACAATCAGATTGTTCTAGTGAAATTTTAAGGTAGGAGAAGTTTTGAAGGCTACCCCGCGCCAATGCGAGCAATTTCACCTGCGAGAAGAAGCAAGTAAACTAAATTAGTTCTTGACTAAGAAAGAAAAACGATATAAGACTGGAATTGACTTATAAAGGAAAAGCTTCATGTTCGAAATGTAAGAATTTTGTGTTGCATTAGGTTTAACAACAAAATCAAGTGGTCATGACTCATGAAACAAATCTTTTATATTCAAATTGGATTTCAGCGGACGTACCATAAACTTGAATATAATCGGACGGGACAAAGAATGGAATCACCAAGGAGATAATCAGTATAACAAACTTCAGAGCCCACCATCCAGAATGCCATTGGTTGCGGGCTTGATGCAACTTCTTCGTGTTACATGTTGTAAGAAACATTCCGAAAAAGAATATCTGAATTTCATGTCAAGGTGTCCACTTTTGATATTACGCAGAAGTATGCAATTTAGATAATTTGAATTTTCTAGTGAAGGATGAATAACTGCTGTTCAGTAGCCTGATAAATTCTCATGGGTATACAGGCAATGAGGAAAAAATCCATGCAAGAGAAAGAGAAGTTGGAGCCCAATAGCAATTCTGGAAAGTATTAACTCCTGAAATCATGCATCAATTCTATCTAGACATGATATATTACAGGATCAAGCTAGATGGCCTATGATAATTGTCTAACTAAGACAAAGGTCGCTTTATCTGGCATTCATGCTCCAAAGTCTAACCCTGGTATCGAAATTGAACTCACATTTTTCCAGTAAACACCTAAACAGAACATTTTCAATAATTCACTTACTCAAATATAAGCTGGGAGGCCTTCCCGGTTAAGGCTTTATGCAAACTCAATTAATTCTCAATAAGCAGAATTAAGCACTGATGACTCTTTCAAGAAAAAGATACAAAGCATCCTAAACTGACACGAAGAACACCGAGCGAGTGAAAGCAACCAGTTTGTCCAACTCTACATGCTTTTGAATCTGCAGAAAAAGATGGAAAAGGGGTCAAAACAGATGATACTATAAACGCTTGTTCTCTTATACATGTGTTTGCACATGAATGAGGGTAGTCAAATGTCATGAGTGTATATGAACTACTTCATACGCTTAGATTAGAGGGAAAAAATTGAATGACAAAATCATGCTGTCTTTTCCTGTAATATTCTTATCAAATATGACTTAAATGAGTATATCAGGGACATTCAACACATATATGAACATTCTATGAACATCTGGTAGAAAGACAGAAAAAATGATAGCATCCATCATGGTAAACTTCAAGTAAATTATCCTTTAGAGTTGACAGTTCTTTAAAATAAAATCAAAATAATTAAAAAAAAAAAAGAATGAATTCATGACAACGTGAAACAGGACTCTGGACTTACAGTGAAGTAAAGGGAGAATCTTTTCTCCATAGTCACGAAAGAACCAAGCTGTAAGATTTATTATCAAGAAAACCATGCCATAAGCATAACGGGCTCGAAGAGATTTCTTTTTTTTTACCAAGTTCTCGTAACTCTTCTGTTCCAGTTGTCCGAGCTTTTCTCCTGGATGTATAGCCACATCATCACTTAATTTGACTTCCACCATGGTGGCTTCATCTGGTGCAGCAGACTCAACCATCCTACAATTCAGGCTGCAATTTTCTGAACAGGAACTTCAGATACAACAATCTATAATCATCCAAGGCAAAATGCTCTGGCTAAGTCAATTATCTGCCAATGCCATTGTATCCTGAGCCCAGCAAGTAAAAGTATGCAACAGTGAGCTCAGGCTTCCGATTTTGGAAATCCCTATTACGCTCAAGGACAAATAATGACTTAAGGAACACTTTTTCCACTTGATAATGCAGCTTAGATGTGAAATGAGCAGTTCTTTAAATGGTATGCAAGTTTAGATGTCCAAATAATTATTCTCTGGTAAATTTATCAGCATGCTTCACCAACCAAATCCAATTTTGGAAATCCCTATTACACTCAAGGACAAATAATGACTTAAGGAGCACTTTTTTCCATTTGATAATGCAGCTTAGATGTGAAATGAGCAGTTCTTTAAATGGTATGCAAGTTTAGATGTCCAAATAATTATTTTCTGGTAAATTTATCAGCATGCTTCACCAACCAAATCCGATTTTGGAAATCCCTATTACACTCAAGGACAAATAATGACTTAAGGAGCACTTTTTCCATTTGATAATGCAGCTTAGATGTGAAATGAGCAGTTCTTTAAATGGTATGCAAGTTTAGATGTCCAAATAATTATTCCCTGGTAAATTTATCAGCATGCTTCACCAACCAAATTCAATTTCGCCAAAGTCACAGTAAGGATGTTAAACAAGTTAGTATTAGTTCTCCATATGTAAAAGAAGTTTCAATTGCAAGAACAAAATGTAGCAGAAAAATGAGTCCTAGAACAATGCAAGCTGACTAAAGAATATGTCTGACATAGCTAAACTTCTAGAGGAGGATTGGATTAAATTAAATCTCAGTTTGAGGAATGTAGATTGACTACAAAATTAATACACTACCAAAACCTTGAATTGCACGATTACTTGTAAAACACTCCTAGAATGACAGCTAGCACTAGTCTGATAGTGTTGCAAGCAACTGATACAGAATAGCTGAAGAAGTGTCAAAATGATAGAGTAAATGGCTAACCTTTCTCTGTTTTGGTTTTGGAGAGAGGACTGGGTTGAGGCTTGAGACTTGAGAGTCGCACTTCTTCAGCAAGAAGTTAGTGAGGCTCCTCACATTTAAATATAGAACCAACAAGACTCTCAGCTTCTGATCTTCTAGACAAAAGGCCAAATGGAAAAAGCAATAAACAACAGCCCACATTTGGTCACATGCCTGCTAATTAATCAAATCTCACTAAAGAAGAATATCCTCCAAATTCTGCACCCTCTCTGCCCTTATTTTCAGAACCTTAATTAAGGCATAATTGTTGTCAAATCTTAACAAGGACTCTTGTTTTTAATTACTCTGAGAAATTAATTTAGCTGATATATAATAGTCCACATATAATTGTAAACTAAACCAAGAAATTCACTGAAAGTTGTAGCCTAAAACCAAGTCCATTTATCTAATTTCAAATCAAACGAATTCCCACCATTAAGTGCAAACTACCATCCCGTTAGTATTTTTCCTCCTTTAATAAAGAGTAATTAGCTAAATCCAAAATCGAAGTTTTCCAGTGGTTTAAAATCATTCAAGACCCTTATTCCTCTCATGTTTGTGCTTTACGTACTTACAAGACAAGCCCGGAAGATAAAAAGGAAGCTGTTTTTGCTGACTTACTAAAATAGAAAAATGTAGTTGCATGCAACAACAAATAGAAGAGGACATGTTTGGTTGGGCCAAGCAGGTTGACTATGGATGCCTGGATGGAAACCTTCTTGATTTCTTGAAAGCTGGGGTCCCCATAACGCGTTTAAGGGGACTCTATAGTAACCGTTACAAGAAAGTAGCAACAGGACGGTGCTCGAGAATTGGTGATTAATTATTTAACAAACACCATCACCATTCGGCCATAAGCAATCATCAGTTTCACTGCTGAAACAGAGTAGAGCAAGAAATTGAGGTCCATTGTCTTTATCAAATGAAAGGACCAAAATTAGAGGAGGCATTGATTGCTAGGAATCTGTCTGTTCAAGAAATAATTTTTGTGACCAAGTGGCAAAATCAATTGTTTCAAATGCTATTCTGATGGGTTAAGTAACATTTACAAAGAAGGTGACTACCCCAAAATAGCTAACATTATTGTTATTTCATAGCCGAGAAAATGCCACTTTATACACAATACTCGACTTCGCACGATAAAGATAAAGTAAAAGATGGCACACCTTCTTTATAAAGGATTCTCACGTTTATATCTATCTATCGTGTAAATTTTTATAAGTGAGCTCATAGTTTCCTACATACTATGCCACAGAATATGCAAAAGTGAATATCATTCCACATTGTGGTACAATTTGCGCTTTACTAACACTACTAGCTATAGTGGTGCTACCAAATTATTTGGCAATCTTATGCAAAATATCTGGAGCATGATTGTTACTTAACCCTTTTGAACTTTTTTGCTGTTTTTGTTTTTACACTCGTTGATTATGGGATGAGTTGGTTCACAATTCATAACACTGCTGTACGTGTTGTTGTGTGGTTAGTTGGCCTTATGATTGGATTTAGGTGTGTCCTTTAGGGTGAGTCATTGAGCCCTCTGTCTCTCTGGGCAGGAATCAATGCCAAAAGAGAAAGGCAAAATGGATTTGGTGGAAGTTGGCGGGATTAATGCAGTGAGCCTCCTGAGTGAGGACTTCTCTCAACTCCTTCCACAAGATTTGGAAGAAACACAGGCAAGAAACAGGCAATTCTGCCATGATGATGATAATAAGCTTACAGTAGTGTTAATGCATAAACATCTTAGTTTCTATTTTCACGATAATTTTGCATGAAATGTTGAACCTGCCCTTCCCACATCCAAATGCAGTTTGAACTTAAAAGAGTATTAACAAAAGTTGTAATAGAAATAAAATGTGGGTTATTATCATTTGCCTCCCAAACTAGAAATTTTCTTACATTGACTGGATCACAAATTCAGTTTTAGTTTTTGGTAGACAAATTAGATTAGAAATTGAGTCATGGAAACATCGAAATTTCATTAACTTCCTAACAAATCAGTCATTAGAAATGGCACAGCAAAATCTGGAGGACCTCTCCTTTAAAAAACATGATCATATATGAAGTTTACACTCTTTAATAGCACATTGGCAGCTTTATTATGATTCCTACTCACTCAAGAATTATTAAAGAATGCACATGAGCAACTTTATTATAATTCCTAATCACTCAAGAAATATTAGACACCTCTAAACTTGTTAGCTCCCTTGTAATGTCCTCAATTAGAGGGCCTAAACTGAATACTAATCATGAAACATTTTTGCACTAGAAAGTGAAATTATAACAACATACAACTAGTACTCTCACCCATGGGCCTTTCATTCATTATTGGGTTATGAAGTGCAATCCAGCTTGTTATTTACCAAGAACTAGTTTCAAAAGGTCCACTTAGGTATAACACTTCTGGATTCAGATTTTTTTCTACTTGAGAATTAAAATGAAAATTATTACAAAATTTGAATGCACATGAAGTATAACTTTATATCCTTTTTTTAACAAAAAAAAAAAAAAAAAAAACTTCCTCGGTAGAAAGAAAGGATAATTTCGGACCAGTAAGATGCGTACTTGCATATGGAGGAATTTTTTTTGTTTATTGGTTGAAGAAGTGTTCACCTAGTCGTATGAAACCTTTTATTCTCCGTTCTCGCAAAGAAGGATAAGAGTAAATCTTATATTATTCGTCAAAAACTAACAGTGTATACATTATCAGTATAGGAAAGATTAATTCTAAAATAAAAACTTTTGTTTGATAGAACCCATTTTGTTCCTAAGATTCTTTTTGGTCCATCCCAATGAAAATGTTTATCTTTTAAAAATAAAAATTATGGAGTAAAATATCTAGACGTCATTGAACTATCTGCATTGTCTTTTTGTGGTCACTTCACATCAGAGATTCAACTTCTAAAAGTTTATATTTTGAAAATAAAATTTACAGGGTAAAAACATAGATGTCACTGCTAAACTATGTGCATTATCTATTTGTGGTATACCGTTGATTGTTCCATCTAATGTTGGGTTCCAATAAAACATAAAGGACCAAATTTCCTGCTTAGGTTTTATGACCAACTCCTAGAGTTTATTGAGTGATTAGAGATTGTAATGTTGTTGCAAAAAATTTTTACCAGAGGCAATGGGATAGCGATATGCATGAAGATACATTTTTGGGTTCAAGAGCGAGAAATCACACTAAAGGAAATGAAGTAACATTACCTCTTAGGTAAAAGAGTCTTTTTTTTTTTTTTTTCGACATAGCTCTTGCTTACGTCAAACTAATCCTCTACGGTTATGCAGAATCTACCCAAGATACACAGCATTTTACCAACAGGGGTCGATCTGGTGATCTCAAATAACTACTCAAAAGTGATTACCATACGAGTTACCTATTAGAAATTAGGTAAAATAATTAAAAGTGTAAAATTTCAAATGAGATTTTAATCATTCCCGATCTCTGCCGGCTAAAAAGAATTCAATTGATGATACTACAATACCTTTAGGGCAAAAAATCTATCCTAATGGACTAAAAATATAATAAGAGAGCATCTAACACCATATTAAATGAGTTAATTATATATCAACTGTTTAGCGGTTGAAATAATAAACTAGATATGGATACACATATCTGATGATACAGAAATATATCATGGTCAATTTGTGGTATAAGAAACCGATCAAAGTGGGGATGATGGGCTTATTTTATTTGCCTTTTGAACCGACAAAAAATCCAACGTTTCAAATTAGTCTAGTCTTGGAAATTTAGGATGGCCGTGGTTTAAAAAGCACACTTTTGAAAATTTGGGGCTTTCTTGCAATTCTAAGATTTCAAAAAATACCGCCAATGTAACGAACTCATGGCATTCTCGTAATACCAGAAAATGAAAGCCTAGTTTTGTAAATTCAAGTAACTCCATTATCCCCAATCCTATAGTTAGGGCTCAAATCCTAATCCTTCGTGGCTCCAAGCATCAGGAATTTTTTACAAATACGCGAATTATTGTGCTAAATTGCCAACCCAGTCCCAGGAATACCCGGAAATTCCTTAATTATCTATACAATTAGATGTCTTTCATAGATGATTTTCAAGCTAGTATGCCCTTCAACAGCGCCGTTGATATTACTTCACTAAAATTCTCTTCTTTATAATTGTCTGGGGGTTTTTTTAAGGGTTA